TGAGCAAAGAGATCAAGCAATTGAACCTCAAATTGCTCAAGATATACCACGTAGGTCAGACCGGATACGTAATCCTCCGGTCAGATATGGATTTCTCATGTCTGATGAAGGTGACGTCTTGTTGGTAGATCAAGGCGAACCAGAGACCTACCTCGAGGCAATTACATGCCCCGAATCCGATCTATGGCTCGAAGCCATGAAATCTGAAATGGAGTCTATGTACACAAACCAAGTCTAGACCTTGGTTGATGCGCCTGAAGGGGTAAAACCCATTGGATGCAAGTGGGTCTTCAAAAAGAAGACAGACGTAGACGGGAAGGTTCATACCTTCAAAGCTCGATTGGTAGCAAAAGGTTATAGGCAAATCCACGGAATTGACTATGATGAAACCTTTTCTCCAGTTGTTATGTTGAAATCCATTCGGATAATGCTTGCGATTGCAGCCTATTACGATTACGAAATTTGGCAGATGGACGTCAAGACGGCTTTCCTTAACGGGAACCCCAAAGAGGATGTCTTCATGACACAGCCTGACGGTTTTCAAATTGCTGGTCAGTCTGCCAAAGTTTGTAAACTGCAACGTTCAATCTACGGATTGAAACAAGCATCTCGGAGTTGGTACATACGTTTCGACGAAACCATTTCCAGTTTTGGTTTCAAGAAGAACTCTGACGAATCTTGTGTATACAGGAAGGTCAGTGGGAGTGTAATAGTATTCCTAATCTTATATGTCGATGACATATTGTTAATGGGTAACGATATTCCCGCTCTCACTTCTGTAAAGACGTGGTTGAGCGAGAATGTAACACTCTAACTTGAACAGTCTCGTGGACTATTCCAAATTAGAGAGTTAAAAGGAAATATACTAATTTCTTATAAAAAAACATCATATAAATGTTTATTAAAAACAGCGGAAACGAGTTTAATACACAATATGTTTGTGAACATAACGTCATAAAATAAAATACAAACTTTTTATTCAAGCAAATAAATAAACACATAACCGTATTTATCAAAACAGATTTAATTGCCATGTCCTGCACTTCCACTTGTTCCAGCTACATCACCTACGCACAGTAAAA